ACTTGAGCCCATGGACAAGGACATAGCCACAGAGGGCTAGAACTGAGAGTGAAGCATCCAACTGATATGAAGTGACAGGAGATGCACAAGAACACCCAAACTTGCAGATAGTACCCATTTGACCTAGCGTCGATGGCTTGATGATCTGAACTCAACTAGAGGAAGAGTAAGAAATTTTGATAAAGGAACCAAGTGTAAATGGTACAATTTGATGAACTTGACCTATACCTATGGATGTGGTGTTGTTGTTGTTAAGTACCGTCGAGTCAATTCCGACCCATATCGACCCTGTATAGGGTTTCCGAGGAGCAGCTGGTGAGCTTGAACCACCGACCTTGCAGTTCAAACGGCTTTGCAATCTGGCGTATTAACCCACACTGCCACACCAGGACTCCACTTAAGGATGTAGTAGCTCAAAATACCAATTGAGAGAGAAAAAGTCTTCACATTAAGTATCCCCTCTGTACACAGGATTGATAGGGATGGGCAGCTTAGTCATTGGCTACATAAAATGGGGGTGGGGGCTATAAAAGCACAAAGTGGCTGGCTTACAAGTTTTCAAGAGGGAGTTTAGTTTCAGAGTATGCAAGGAAAGGTAAAATTCCCCACTGAATAGTTTTCACCTTGTCTAGCCAAGTCTGGTGAAGGGAGATGAGGATAGGATTCATTTGATTCAATAGTGAGTAATTGTCATCATGACTAATTGCAATGGTCACAACTGTAAAGGTAGAAGCTGTGTAATAAAAGGGAGGAGTAGTTAATCTTACAGTCCAGGAACAGAGGACCCTAGGACCCTTAAGAGAGAAATGTATGATCGGAACATAGGATCCTAACCAGAGAAGCAGAGACAGCAGAGATGGAGGCAGAGGTGATGGTATGGGGAGATTGAGCAGCTGAGGACTTTCGACTCATGGAAAAAGAAAGGCTGTGTGCTGGTGGCTCGCTTGCAGAATGTGTCCTTTGGTGGTTGTTTAAATTATTATATATTCCTGCGTGTTTTTGTGTACTTCAAACAACAACAACAACAAACAAACAAAAAAAAAAAAACCCAGAGAGAATAGAAGTAAACACTATTAACCGATGCTGCATAGAGGAGATTGTAATCATTGCAATGAAACAAAACACGATAAGTTGAGTGTAAAACCAATGTTCTCCCATGTAAACGAACTCAATTCACAATAAAAGCTTTAAAAACAAAAACAAAAAAGATTTCATCAAAGGGTAAAAAGAGAACCTACAGACTGGGAAAACAATTTTGGCAATGACATATCAGACAAGGGACTACTGTCTAAAATTTATAGAACACTTTAATATTTAATACTTCAACAAGAAGAAGATAAATAATCCACTTTAAAAAATGAGCAGAGGACATGAACAGACAGTTCACCAAAGAAGGCATTCTGGTGGCCAAGAAACATATGAAGGAAGAAATGGTCACAATCACTAGTCATTAAAGAGATGTAAATGAAAACATCAATGGGATACCATCTTACCCTAACATGAATAGCAAAACTCAGAAACACAGAAAGCAACAAATGCTGGAGAGGGTGTGGAGGGTCTGGGACCCTCCTATGCTTCTGGAGGAACTGTAAAATAGTGTGACCACTGCGGAAACCAGTTTGGTGCTTTGTGAGAATGTTGGAAAGAGAAATACTATGTGGTCTCTAAGTCCCTCTACTGGGTATGTATCCTCAGGAAATAAAACGGTGACATGAATAGATCCTTGCACACCCATGCTTACTGCAGCAGTGCTCACAACAACAAAACAATGGAGACAGCCCAGATGCCCATCAGCAGAGGAATGATTGAATAAACATTGGTACAGACACATAATGGAATGGTATATAACACTGAAGCATAAAGATGAATGTGTAAAACACCCCATAACATGGAAGAGCCTCAAGGACATTATGCTGAATGAAATAAGTCGGTCCCAAAGGAACAGATACCGTATGAGTCACTACTGTAAAAAAATCAAGAAAAGGTTTTCATTCTATAATAAACTCTATGGTGGTTACCAGGGGTGGCAGGGAAGGGAGAATTAGTCACTGGGTATAGACATGTACTAACTTGAATGATGGGGAAGGCAGTTAAAAAGAAAAAAGAAGGAAAAAAGAGATGCAATTTTCTTCTTTTTGGGGGGTCTGGATTTGGTTTTTGTTTCTTGTGCTGGAAGGGAAACCATGGATATTTATTTTCTCATTTATGACAAACCATTGGGAACATCCCCTCCCCCCACTGCAATAAAAAAAGAGAAAGGAGCAGGAGACAGAAAAAAAAAAGATCTGGAAACAGATAATGGCGACGGTTGCGCAACACGGGGAGTGTGGTTGGGATGGCTGGATTGTACATGTCAAAAGGGTTGAAAAATGGCAAATGCTTTTTTGTCTGTATATTAATACAATGAAAAATAAATAAAGCATTTACACTTTAAAAACAGAATTGTAAGACTAGAGAGACAACAGAGAGAATGGATTCGTTGCAATATTTTAAGAGATACCGAGAATTTCACAGAACTGATAAAAGATACAAATCCACAAACTCAAAAGGCCCCAAACATCCCAAAGAGGGAAAACAAAGTAAGTCCATAGCTAGACACATCATAGGTAGTTGTAGAATGGTACTTTGGACGTCATTGCCATCACGTCAATTGAGACCCATGAACACTCCATGTATACAGAGTAGAACTGCTCCATGGGGCTTTCAAAGCTGTGAACTTTCAGAAGCAGCTCACCAGGCATTGCTTCCAAGGCACCCCTGGGTAAGTTCACATTGCCAGCTAGAAATTGAGCACTTTACCGTTTTTGCCACCCAGGAAGGGACTCCCAGTTGTGGAATACCAAAGGCAAAGAAAAGATCTTAAAAGCAGATGAAGAGAGAAAAAGAACAAAAAAAGCTGATTACCTTTAAAACCATGGTTTTTGGACTGCAAGATGACTTCTCAATAGCATTCGTGAAATTCAGAAGACAGAGGAATGGTATCTTCAATATGCTGGGAGAAAAACTGTCAGAGAAAAAAACACAGGTCACTTACAAAGAATCAGATAACAGCATGTCTTCAGACTTTTCAGCAACAACATTGGAAACTAGAAGATAGTGACGTAACGTCTTCAAAATTCAGAAGGGAAAAAAAAAACCATTCCAACCTAGAATTCTATACCTAAACTATCTATTGTAAGCTTAGACTAAAACCATTTTCAGACATGGAAAGAACTCCCCAGGTTTACTTGTTATGCATCCTTTGTTTGGAAACTACTAGAGAAAGTGTGCCACCCAAACAAAGAAGGAATGGACGAAAGAGAACAATGAGATCCATGAAATGGGGACTCTGTCCCGATGGTGATGGTAGAAGGAGAGCCCAGGCTACAGAGAGCCAGTCCGCACACTGTGGGAGTGATGCCTCCAAGCAAGGCCAGGAAACTTCGAAAAAGCAGAAAATGTCTGATGTGTTTCAACACATGGATAGGAGACTTAGACAATTAGAAGGGGGGGAAGGGGGGGAACGACACACGCAGGCGGGGGACAGAAGGTTGTCTTTGCTTTCTTTTAAAAAATTGTTGTGGTAAAGGGCATATTACAATTTTTTTGCGTGCAATTTTAACCATATTCAAGTGTTAATGTTATGAATTCTATGTACCATGGTGTGCAGCCATCACTACTGTCTATTTTCAGAAATTTCCATTACTCCAAACAGAAACTCCCTAAGAAAGAACTCCTTTCTATCCCTGGTCACCCCTCTAATGAGACAATATTCATCCTTTGTGTCTGACTTCGTTCACGCAGACCCAGAAACAGACACACAAAAAGAAGAGTGGATAGGCTACAGATTTGCCCTGGTGTTGTTGTTACATGCCTTCCAGTGGGTTCTGACTCATAGCAACCCTGTTCTGACTCATGGTGACACTGTATAGGGTTTCTGAGGATTCGCTGGTGGGTTTGAACCACCAACTTTGTGGCTACTAGTCCAGTTCTGATGCTATAGCGCCACACCAGAACTCCAGAGATGTGCCCTATAAACATTTTCTAAAGTGACAGTAATTAAACAGCTGCTGGTCACAATGGGTCGGAACCGACTTGACGGCACTTAACAACAACCACCGCAGCGTCAGCATGGTTGAATGAGGCTTTCTTCTCCCGTGAAGACCTACAGCCTCGGAAACCCTATACAGGGTCGCTATGGGTGGGAACCAACCGGAAGGCACTTAACAACAACCGAAGGTACAATGTGGTGGCACTTAGTCACCAAGTTTGTGCAGCCATCCCCGCTACCGATTTGCATTCTACAGGTAGTCCCAGACTTGCTAGGCATTCCAGTTTCTTGCTTGGTTTTTGTACAGTTTCCTAGTAACATGTAATAAAAACTATACTCTGTGGTAGCGCAGTGGTTACGAGTCGGGCTGCTAATCTCACTGTCAGCAGTTCGAAACTACCAGCGGTTCAGCGTGAGAAAGATGAGGCTTTCGCTCCGGTAACGATTTACAGCCTCGGAAACCCTGCGCGGGGTTCGCTACAAGTCGGACCGACGCCACGGCATATAACCGCAAGTTTATAGGTAATGTTTCCAACCCCCAAAGAGAAAACTCAGATTTATAAAGACACTAATAAAGGCAATAATAATGAAAACTAAATCTAACTCTATATCTCTATATATGTTTGACTTACATCAGAAGTGCTGTGAGTCATGGAGGGGAATCACATTGTTAGTCTCAGCCTACCCAAAGAAATTCCATGCTTATTTAGCAAGCACTGTTTTCTCCTCTCCCTACCCCGACAGACAACCTGAGTGAGCTGCTTTCTAGCTCCTCTGTGCATTTACCTATTCTGGACATTTCATATAAATAGAGCCTTTTTTTAATTGTGGGGTTAAAATTCACACAACCAAAGTGGCCATTTTAAAGTTTACAGTCGAGCGGCAGTCAGGACGCTCTTTAATACAACCCTGTGCAACGTCGCCACGCCCTAGCCCTAGAACTTTCCATCACTCTTACAGAACCCCTCACCCACCCCGGAGCCTTGAGTGCGTCAACGAGTCGTCCGTTAGCCACGCGGAGGCGCATGCGTGCAGAAGGGTTTGCGCATGCGCATTGGGATCACGTGGTAGTACTAGGCGCGCTCCTGGCGGCATTTTTTCTGAGGCGAGCGAAGCGATCGGAAGGATGGCGGAGGACCCTGGGCCTGATGCAGAGACGATTCAGGTGCTGCGGGACATGGCCAACCGCCTGCGCATCAGGTCTATCAGGGCCACATGCTCCTCCAGCACCAAGTAAGGCTCTGAGGCACCTGGTAGCAGCTAGGAGATGATGGGGTGGGATCGGAGCCCTTTAGGGGGTTCTGGCATCCAGAGCAGTCAGAAATGTGGCGGGCAGGGGGAGGGGGGTCGCAGAGGGGGGTACCTCGAGGTGAGAGGCGCTCGGGAACCCCGGCAGAAGCGAACTCGGGCCTTTTGGGGTTGGGGGGGCGCCCTCAGCCCCAGGATTCTCGGAGGCGGCCATCTTAGGCGTTTCAGTGGGAAGCCCTTTTCCTTCGGAACTAATCATCTGCCTTGGGGTGGGCTGGGGTGGGCTGGGGTGGGCGTCTGCGAGGCCTGAGGTGTGAGTGTGGCCTTTCGGGCGCTGACGACGTAGTCTGCTGCCGACCGGCCGGGACTCGCCAGGCCCTCCGCCTCCCTCCCTCGTGCAAGTCACGGCCGGCCGGGCTAGAAATTGGCCCGCCTCATATCCTGGACCCGAGAGCGGTCTGTCCTTCACCATGTACTTCCCCCAAAATCGTTTCTGGTGATAAACCAAAAATCTCGCGGTGGTTGAGTGGGTTCCAACTCAGAGCCATCCCGTCGCGGGTTTCCGAGGCTGGAACGCCTCCCCTTTCTTCTTGAGAGCCGATGGTGGATTTGAACCCACAGTTAGCGTCCAGTGCCTGTCCCCCCCCCC